GAAGAGCACAGAAACCCAAACAAAAGGAATGCAAAGAGGACCACACTAAGACACATCAAAATTAAAATTCCAAGAGCTAAAGACATAGAGAGAATATTAAAAGCAGCAAGAGAAAAGCAGATAGTTACCTATAAAGGAGCACCTATATGATTATCAGCTGATTTCTCAACAGAAACCATGCAGACCAGATGGGAGTGGCAAGAAATATTCAAGGTGATGAATAGCAAGAACCTACAGCCAGAAATACTCTACCCAGCAAAGCTATCACTCAGAATCAAAGGCCAGATAAAGAGCTTCACAAATAAAAAAAAAAGCTAAAGGAGTTCATCACCTCCAAACCAGAATTAAATGAATTGCTGAAAGGGGTTCTTTAGGAAGAGAAAGTAAATAAAGATAAAAACTATGCACAACAAATATGTAACTATCAACAAGTGAAACTAAAAGCCAAGGGAAGCCGAAACTGGTTTGGCTCAGTGGTAGAGCGTCGGTCTGTGGACTAAAAGGTTCCAGGTTCAATTCTGGTCAAGGGCATGTACCTTGGTTGCAGGCACATCCCCGGTAGGGGGTGTGCAAGAGGCAACTGGTCGATGTTTCTCTCTCATCGATGTTTCTGGCTCTCTATCTCTCTCCCTTCCTCGCTGTAAAAAAAAAAAAAAAAAAAAAAAAAAAAAAAAAATATATATATATATATATATATATATATATATATATATATATATATTTTATATATATATATATATATAAAAGCCAAGAGAATTAAAAAACCTAATGAACAATATTAACTGTTGAATATAATAGAATCAGAGGTATGGAAGGGGAGTGGACTGACGATTCTCAGGGAAAAGGGGAGTCGGGGGTGCGGGAAGAGCCTGAACAAAAACTGTGCATCTATGAATGAGGACAATGGGGGTGGGGAAAGGGCATAGGGTGGGGTGGGAACCTGGTGGAGAGTAGCAATGGAGGGGGAAAAATGAGGAACATTTGTAATAATATGAACAATAAAGATTTATTTAAAAAATTTAGGGTTATTATTGAGAGGTACTTATTTATAGCCATTTTAATTCTGTATGGCTAGGTTTCTCTGTTTCTTCTCAGCAATTTCTTACAGCATTTTATTTATTTATTTTTTTATCTCAAGAGAATCTATTTTAAGTAAAATAATGTGAAATGCAATAAACAAATTATTCAAGAAAAACAATCTTAATATAATATCACATGCACTAAACATTAATATTTCACGAAAATAAGATTTTAAGTATAATAATATTATCAAAACTGTATAACAACATAGTATGATATCACAAACATTGTAGGAAATAGTAAAAATTTACCAATAACAGGATTGCTACTATTATATTCTAAAATACTTTCCCACCTCTGGCTCTCTTTTGTTCATTATTTTATGTTGTTCATTATATTCTACAAATGAGTGAGGTCATGTGATATTTATCTTTCTCTCACTGGCTTATTTCACTTAGCATGATGCTCAGAGCTGGTTCTCTAGCGCAGGCCACAGCCAGTTCCTGACCCCCCTACCCAGTCTCCCACAGGGTCTGGGTCTCCGATCCTGGAGGAACTAAGAAGCCACGTCTGCTCTGGGGCTGATCCGGCAGTACACCTCTGTGTTTGGTTTGAGTAATTCCTGTCAAAGAAAGAAGAGATCTCTGAGCCCTGCAGCCTTCTCAGAACAAGTGCCATGATTCACAGATGCCATGGAGCTGACTGTGGTTGGGTGTCTGTACCCAGGCTCCTCCCTCCTTCCACCCTCTGTTGTCACCTTTCACTGCCTTTTCCTGAGCTGGAAGCACAGCCAGGGCTGGGCTGGAGGCAGGTCCTAGTTCCTCTGGGACCTGCAGGACAGAACTTTCATTCCCCACACTCACCTGGTAGATAGGGCCTGCTGTCTTGGGGTTGGGTAGGAGGTCCTGTACAGTGGGGAGAGAAGTGTCAGATGACAGGAATAAAGGGCCGCTTTGCCTTTTGAGCAGCTGTCTTCACACCTGTAGCCCAGCACCCCAATCTCAGCCCACACTACACCCCCTCACCCTTGTTAGTCTGGGACCTCTGACTGGTGCTCCCAGTGCCCATTCTGCTCTGTGCTGGACTCCAGAGTTTCTCTCAGACTCCAGCCCTGCCTTGTCCACTCCTGACTATGGGCCTCAACAGACCAGGGCAGGGCTCCCCTGCTGGCTGTTCTGGGGAAGGGTCTGTGCTATTTTGTGAGGTTGGATGGTTCCCCTTTCCTGAGGGAGGGTCGCTGATACCCTGGATGAGGGAACAGGGAGGGGATGGACTTACCCGGAAGGCAGAAGTTCCAGTGGGACCCTGGCCTGGGAGCAGAGACAGCAGGCGTTAGAACCAGTGGGGAGGAAGCTTTAGCCTGTTCTCCCAGGAGGGGATGGTTCTTTAGCTCTCAAGAGCCAAGGGTGAAAGGTCATCTCCCAGGGCAAGACCCTCTTGCCATTTCAGGGTCCAGTGAAGGAGCGGTGGTGACACATGACAAAACCTATATGTCAGGTTGACTGGCGAGTAGGGAATCCCTGTGCAGAGTGGTGATGAGAATCTCCCTTGAAGCCTAGGGAAGGGCCAGATCCTGAGGGACAAGGGCAGTGGTGGTTACTGTGGGGCAGGCCCAGGAGCTCCAGGCTGAACAGACACTCACTGGTGGTTGCATCATTCTCTGTTTTGCACATTTAAAACCTTCCATTTGCTCTACCTTTGCATGTACTATCACCCCACTATGCCCATGTCCTGGTAATTTTTCTCTTAACTCCTCTTACCCTCACATATTCTGTCTCTTACCCCTATTTCTTCTTTTCCATCACTATGGACAGTCTTAGTGGGCAACTTACCTGCCACCTCAGTGCTGATGAGCAATAAGAATGTGCTGAGTGTTTTTGATGGTCCAGGCAGGGTGGGAATTACTTTACCTTCATGTCATTTGGTCCTTCCACCCCCACAAGGGATGGGTGGTGTCACCTCCATGAGCACAAACAGAATCAGGGATGGGAGGTGCTTAATAAATGGCTGACGGTCACAGAGCTGGTGAGTGATAAATGACATTTTCACTGAGATCTGCTTGACTTTACAGTGTGCATAAAATTACCAACAATAATTGATACACTGTCTGAACATGACCCTGGCTGAGGGTTTTAACTCATTAACCTCACAATAAATATCCTAACAACAGTGTTTAGGTCCAGCTGTTTTATTCCAGGTTAGAGATGAGGATACTGAGGTTCAGGTGGGTGAGAGCCTTCCCCATAGTCAGCGTTCACCATTCTCATAAAACCGAGACAAGAATGAGATTACCCAAATCCTGGGGTCCTTATCCATATGCTCTATAGGCTCTGAAGGAGGCTCCCACCTCATCAAGGCTTTCATCCATCTCACCCTCCTGCCAGTGAAATATACAAAAGCAAGTAGGAGAGGTCGAGGGTCACTCACATTGCACATGCAGCCTGAAGGGGTCACTTTTGCTGAAACTGACGGGGTTGAAGACCTCACACTGATAACCCCCAGAGTCCTCCCTCCTGACTGGGTCAATGGTGAGGGTGCTGTTGTCCCGGGACAGCTTCATCCTGTCCATGAGCAGGAGACTCTGGTTCTTGAAGAGCCACCGGATGGAGATCCCCACGTCATTTGTGAGGCAGGTCAGGACCACAGTGTCCTTATGCTCTGTGACTGTGGCATTGCTCGCAAGGAGGGCGGGCTTCCTCACTGGTTCTGTGGAGAACAGAGAAGGTGACTGAGTGAGAGTGGGCTCCTTCCTCAGAGATGTCAGCCACTCACAGGCCACAGTGATCTCTGTAAAGGTCACCAGAGGATGACTCTGACCTTTGCAGGGTGATGATATTTGTTTAGGTGACAGACTAGATCAACTCAGGGTGACCCCTGACCTGTTTCCCTGGACAGCGGAGGTATTAGCCTTATATCGTGTGTCCAGCATCTTCATCCTCAGGTGGCATTTTCCACCAATTGACTTTTGTCTGACTCTTTTCCAGACCTTTCTGTGACTTTCTAAATAATCAAACCCCCTCTCTGGTATGGTAGTGACACATAGAGATGGGAAGGCATTTCCCTTTTGTTAAATAATTTGTTAGAGAATGAGAATGGTCCAGCTATGACCTTAGAGCCTAGAGAAGTTTCATTCTAAAGAATTTTTCTGTCTGAATAGGACATACACTTCCTGGCCAATGGATTGGATATCAGTGAGAAGAAAGTCCCTAGAGAGAAGTAATCAGTTTTAACAATAGCTGGTAGTCTTAGCTTTCTCCGTAAACTACACACTTTGTGGCAGTGCTCCTTCTGTCCCATGAATCTACCTACTTGCCAAGTTAACACCATCATTCACTGCTTTCGGTAGGAATGTTACATACACTGGTGTCCCGCAGTGTTGTACAGCAGGTGACTTCAGAGTTTGGACATAGCTCAGAAGGGTCTACCCTGTGGCTCACTCTCTGGTTTGAGGGAGGCCATGATGTTGATTGGTGACATGATTTGAGCAGGCAGAGAATAGGCCTCCCATGCCCCATCACCACAGACCCCTGTCTAACCTCAGAGGGCACAGAGCAGCCAGTCACCAGGTGAGCCTGGAGTAGCTCAGGGAGCAGGGGGGTCTGACCTGCTCACCCGCCTTAGTGGTGGTTTCCTCCCTTAGTTTGTGGAAAAGAGGAGAGTTTTCTCAAAGCCTTTTATATTCTTTGTAGCACATGGGGCAGGTACAGACAAGAGGTGACAGAAGGAAAGTGTTAGTGACAGAAGAAGCAACTTGACCTTGAGGACCTTTGTTCTCTCATCTGGGTAGCTCCCTCCCTTTATCTCTTGTCTCTTTTGGGCTGATAGAACTCCCTCCTCACTTTCCATGGCTGGAGCTTAGCTCTGCCATGAGAAATCAGAAGAGTAAGTAGTGGGAGGAGTCTACAGAGATGTAGAGGGAGGGCTCAGGGGAAGACTTTGTGATTTTCTTGTGTCCATGGCCCAGTATGGGAGACAGCACCCTATAGGCTCTGTCCTGAAAACCAGACAGCCCTGCATCCCACAGCCTGGTGCTGATGGTCCAGGAAGCACTTACTATAGACTGTGATATTCTTGACCATGGCCCCTGTGAGCCCAGTGTCAGAGTTATGGGTGAGGCAGATATAGGATCCACTATTATGCAGAGTGATGTTGGGGATAAAGAGCTCCTGTGTGGTGGTCAGGGGCCTCCCATTGATAAGCCAAGAATACTGTGCAGGCGGGTTGGAGGCTGCCTGGCAGGAGAGGCTTAGATTTGTCCCATGAAGGTAATGGGAGTTGGAGGGAGAAATGGTGGGAGCGTCAGGGTCATCTGGAGTAAAGAAAACAAAGTCACACATGATGTAATCAGAGGGAGGGGAGGTTCCTGGTCTGTGTAAGGGCTACACTCTCCCTCAGAGCTGGGTCACAGCCTTGTTTTAAAAAGACCCAACCATAGCTCCCGTGTTCACTGAGCCTGAGTCTGAGACATTAACTTGTTTGTCCCATGAAAGCTTGTTGACTCTGAGCCTCTCCTGATAGGAGCATCCATCCCCTCCCAGTCTTGGCTAAAGGCCGAGCCTGACCAGATGTACCTGGTCCAGGAACAGATGGCCACCCTGGGTGTTCATAGCACGGGATGTGCATATGAGAACCTGAGTGTGACAAATGTGGCCTAGCCTCTGGCAGTGTGGATTCCGGTGGGTAGCATGGTCCAGGCAGGTACAGAAGTTACTCACAGAGAACATTCAGAATGAATGGGTCACTGCGGACAACACTCACGAAGTTCTGGGTTTCATACTCATAGGGTCCTGTGTCATTCCGTGTGACAAGGAGTATAGTGAGGGTCCTGTTGTCCTTGGATAGCTGCAGCCTGGCACTGACCAGGAGTCTCTGGCTGTTGATAAACCACAGATAGGTGGTGTTCTCAGTCTGAGGTTCACACATTAACATGACAGGGTCCTTGTGCTCTTCCGGGTTGAAGTTGTTGCTTGTGATGCTGGGTTTGGGTAACACCGCTGTGCAGAAAACAGAGAGAACATTGCCCATTGAGGCCTCCAAAGGCTTCTTCAATCAGAATTGGTGCCTCTTAGCTAACTAGAGATCTTAAAGATATAGGCAGGACTGTGCATCACAAGAGAAACAAATGCATGGGCAGCTGAGCGCTCGGAGATTGTAAGGCCACCTGCTCTATGTCTGGGAGAAAAGCAGAGGCTTTCTCAGGAATCAGACAACTATCAGGGTTTGATCACAGAGAGACACAGGATTGAAAAGCAGAGACCTCACCGCACCTTCCCTGTTTCCTCACTGACCAACTGACTAGGGTCCTTGTGCTCACCTGGAATGTGCAGGTGCTGTGTCCCTTCCAGCTACAAAGATCTACATTGCTGGGTTGAGATGTGTTTCCACTGAAGCCTCACTTTCCAGGGTTAACCTGGAGATGAGTAATGATGGACCACCTGATAGTCCTTAAACCCTGAGAGGACTGGGCAAGTGGGGCCTGGAACCGGGTGTCTGAGCAGAAACAATACATGGGAGACCAGAAGCAAGTCTGCCAGTCAGTTTATTAACCAGCCTGCAGGGCCATGATTTAGAAGAGTGAGGGATGGCAGTAGATGGCTGGCAGTTGCAGCAGAATTATGCTCTCTGGCTGTGGTCTGTAATGTCATTTCTGCCACTGCAGAGGGCAGGGATCCTTCCTCAACATACAGGCAGTAGCATGTATAGAAGGAGGACTTGTGGAAGGTGGAGGAGCATGAACTTGCTGAAAATATGGCCCTCAGGGACTATTTGTGTTTGGAAATTATGAGATAGATTTTAAGTTAAACTGTGAAAGAATATGTGAAAATCACTCATGCCTCAAAGTTGTAATTTCAGTTTCTGGAGTAATCTCTGTCTAGAGCACAAACGTCATAGACCAAGTACTGCCTTCCAATCAGGTCACACTGTGACCAAAGGAAAATGCCACAGTGCATTTGAAATCAGGGACTCCCTGAGATGGAGAGAAGGTGAGTCCTGTTTAGAGAACAGAAGTGATTGGGGGAGGAGTGGAGGGTGTTCTGGTAAGGTGGGGAATGAGTCCAGGTGTTCTTGATGTATAATGTGAGGGATGACACCAGATTGGGAAAAAGACATTTGCCATGTTTAGTAAGTTTAGAAAGAAGGTCCATCTCTGTTTTCATGGACAGTCAGGCAGTTGGGGAGAAGCCCCCACATGGCATGTGGCCTGTGCTCTTCCTTATATTTCTAACTCGGGAAACAACAGGAGCTGAGTCATATTCATTCAAATGGGCAGCGTCTAAAAGAAAGAAGAGTGGCTGGTGGATCTACCAGTCTGAGAGGATCCCACCCTATGGTCAAGGTGTCTTCATGACACACGTGTGTGAAACAAGCAGTGAACCAGTCAGATGGTGCAGGGTCACCAGGCCCACCCTGAGAAGGTCTCAGGAACCAATGAGAGGAATGGGAACCTCACCAGGACAAGGGTGTGAATCACCAGTCAGGGATGAAGTGAACCCATGAGCTTTGGGGGCTCAGACCTGTCCTTTTGCTCTTGACTCCCTGGTTGAGACATGTAGAAAGCAGTTCAATGATTTACATGCCCCTGTCATGTGGCCTGTTCCTCTTGTGGGCCTCATGGGGAATAGGAGCCATGATGGGGCCCAGCAGAAACTGTTTCTCCTGGTGACCTGGGAAACTGGCTCATGAGGGAGCCGGGGATGCTGTTCCAACTGATTTCTGTGTCCTCTTCTATTGCCCGGGAAGGTGGGCTTGGACACAGGTGTTAGCAGGACAATCTGGGGAGACTGCACAGTGGAGGAACTAGAGCAGAGCAGGGCTGTATCTCTGGCATGAAGGAGGAATTAGATAAGGGACACGGAAGGAGAAGAGAGAGACAGAATGTCCTGGGTGAGCAGTGGGTGGTCACAGGTGACTTCAAAAAGCCCATAGCCGCCCCAGGGCAGAAGCAGTGCAGCCTGGAAAACCTTTTTATAGTGGAACATCTCCACAGTCACCAAGGGACTTGGCTCCTGAGGGGGCTTCAGGGACAGGTGGTCAGAGAGATGAACATGTCTGTTAGCACCTGTAGGGACAGGGAACAGGTGTGGCTAAAACCTTTCAGGACTCTACATCGAGGTTTCAGTCTTTGTAGCCATTATGCATCTCTCATTCATTCACTCATTCATTCATTCTGTCATCAGTCACCATCATTCCTTCCGTCTTTCATGAAAGCACAAGTGACTGCTGGTCCCTGAGCTGGTAGCAGGTGTACAGTGGGGAGTGAGAAGTCAAAGTCCCTTTCTTCATAGCTAATGGGAGTGACGCCAACACATCAGGAAATGTATAAGTGGTTTTAAGTCCAGTGCAGGGAGGGGTGGTGGGTAACTTGAGGCCTGGGCATTCCCAGCACTGAGTCTGAATGTCATTGTAGGTAATTTGATTCCAGAGTGAAAATTAATTCTCCACTTGCTTACTCACCAGAACAGAAAATCTACTTTGAGCTGGGAGTGGTAAGAAAAAGCACTGAATCAATGGCTGGTCTCAGAGTCCACAGATACCTAAGACCCTCGTGGTGGAGGAGAGGGTGGGCTGTGGCTGTGAAGGACCTGCTGTGTCTGTGTGAGCCTGATGCAATGGCTGTATCACACTGTGCCTCCGTTTCCCCTGAATAAAAACAGAACAAATGCTAAATGGACTCCGGATTACCATGTCATCTGTGAATTGACCTTAAAACTTACCTGAGTACTTAATCTCAAGCCAAGTATGGAGGACACATTGACTGACTTGGCCACTGCCATTATTTGCCTCCAAGAGAGAGAATTCCTGGGCTGACCCCTGATGAAAAGGAGCTGTCAGGAGCATTTTCTCCCCTCTGTTCCCTCCTGGAGACCTGACTTCCCTCCAGAGTCTCATAAGTCCCTCATAAGAGTCAGCTTATGGTACAGGATATTTTGTCTATGTGCACTCTCCTGACACCGGTTTATCTGAAGGAGTAGGCTCTGACCCTGTTCTGATGTGGCTCTTGGAGCTGAGCCCTGGGTGAGCAGGAGTAGAGCCACAGGTCCCACCCAGCCCTGCTGGAGGTCAAACCCAACCTGACCCAGGCTCCCCAGGTTCCCTGGAGTTAGGACCCCTGAGACAAAGTTCTGGGAGGGGTTCCAAGGCTGAGCTTCTCTGTGAGGATTCCAGGGTCCCCTTAGGCCAGGGTGTGAGCAAGCTCTGCAGGGCTTTCTCAGTGTCATGGCCATGGGAAAGGGGCTAGGGGCTGGACTGAGACTCTGCTGAGTCTCCCTGTGCTGAGTCACTTCCCATCAGACTTCTCTCTGAGGAGAATATCTACAGGGATGGAATCCATGAAGGGAACTCTGATCATAGGAAGTTTGTTTCCACTGTGTATGTCCTGCACTAAATGCCCAAAATGTAATGCAGAGGGGGATGGAGGAGAGTCCAGGGCTGTCAGTCCTGTGTGTGAAGTAGAGTTCACTCACCCGGCACCCAGAGGTTAGAGAGCAATTACTCATGGTATACATGGAGCTCTCCAGTTACAATTTTGTCATCATAATCTTTTAGTATGCCTTGTAGGACATAGTTTCCTGTGTCCTTCAGGGTGACCTTCTGGAGTAGGAGGGATCCATTGGGGTATATTGTCTCTCTACTGCTGTATGCAGGCTCACAGGTAATAATTTGAGTCCCTATTTTATATGTTACAATTCTAACACTTTCCCTTTGTACCAGTGATAGGCTGCAACATTCCCAGGCAGGTTGTGGACACGTAGAAGCACATCCTGCCCTTCGACAGCATTGGATGGTACTGATTCAATAGTGAGCTGTGCAGTGGTGGGCAGGCTCCAGAAGGTTAGGAGTGAGGCTAGGAGGGAAGAGAGAAATTGATCAATATTTGGAGCTCTGTATTGGGAAGGAGAGATCAATCCATGGGTCCTGAACAGGTCTCTTCATCTCTCAGCCTTGCTCAGAGCATGTGTGTGTGTCTCCTGTGGTCAAGGTCAGCAGCATGGCCACCGTGACTTCAGCACCTCTGAACATATTATTTCCTGTGTTTTGAATATTGTTAACCAGATTTCTGCCCTCAGACCCCTTCTGACACTCAGGGTGTCCTTAGAAGACCCCTTCACTGATCACCTCCTCTAAAGTTCTCTGTCTTCACTTTTTGACCTGTCCCTGGGCTGTTCCTTGCAGGGCACTAGGGTGAACCTGACATCACATCTAAATCTTTCCTTGTCTGCCTCTTCCCATAGAACATGAGCTTCAAGTGGGTAGGTGCTTGTCTGACCTTGTTGCACACCCAGTGCCTGCAACAGGCTATTAGTGCCTGTGGGTGAATGAGTGAGTGTTGCAGGTTCCTGCACCTCCTGGGGTGTATCTGCCCATTTCTGAGCTTGGTGGTAAGGACAATGTTTAGTGCCTCTAGTTTAATCTCCCATATGCTCAGATAATTTGTTAATATCTGAAGTTTTCAGCATTCAACTCTCAGTGATCAGTAAGTTGGGAAATGAACTTACTGATCACTGAGGTTTTCCTGTGCCACATCGTTTCCACATCATTTTCCTGTTGCTGAGTCCCCTCCCCCATCCTACTGTGCTCCCCTGTCTTCTTCCCTCAAGTACAAACAGAATCCCGCTTGTTTTTGTTTCACCAGGATTCCCCATCTAGCCTGTGCCTATCCTCCTCCCATCCACCAGGAGCCCCTGACTGGGGAGAAGTCCTCTGTGGGCAGTGGCTGAGGGGGAATCCATGGTGTCTGCTGCCTGCTCTGTCCCTCCCTCTGTGGGAAGAGCTTGGATTCCAGAAATGCTCACAAGCACCACTGTCCTGGTTGTGGGATGTGCTGTGCCTCCTTCCCTGTGCCCTGAGTCTCCTCCTGGGCCAAGATCACTTCCCTGGTCACATGGGTCAGGGGTGGAGTCTGTAGTCAGGTTTTTCCGTGCCCTCCTATTATTCCTGCTTCCTCTTTTCTTTCCTTTTCATTGTCATTTCCTGTAACTGCTGAGGCTTCTAC